AGTGAGGACCCACTTTGTACTTAATTTAAACCATCATTAACCCTCTGATTTGGTCCCTTTTTTCTCTCTCTCTGATTGAATGATGCTGTGATAAAAGAAAATCAAATACTTTGAATGATCCAATGTCAAGGCTTTCACTGTTGGTGCCTTATATGATGTACAGTTGAAGGGTCCATCAGGGGCACTGTTCTTCTAGCTTTGTTAATCGCCACCTCTGCAACCCTATGATTTATAGGCTTATTGTACAATTTGATGCCCCAATGAACATATCACATGGTATATGCTTCTTTTTTTCTCTCCTTGTTTTCTAGTTCGAACATTGTTTTAGACCCTTTGGAAAAAGCCTATAAATTTCAGCTTTCCACTTTCGAAATTCCCATAATAACAGTAGCTTTGAGCCTTTAGGGGAAAACCCCAGAAATCAAAGACGAACTACAAGAGCAGCTATGGCTAATATCAACGAGAACAACATGTCCAGTCCTATGGAAGAGGACAGTGAACTTAGAAGAGGCCCATGGACCCTTGAAGAGGACACTCTACTAACCCATTACATTGCTCGTCATGGTGAAGGTCGTTGGAACATGTTGGCCAAATGTGCAGGTAACTAAACTAACATCCCTCGATTCATCTGTATTTTCTATTGATAATATGTTTTCGTCTTAAAATTTTATCCTAATATAAAATCACGTTCGTCAGGTCTCAAGAGAACTGGAAAAAGTTGCAGATTAAGGTGGCTGAATTATCTAAAACCAGACATTAAGCGGGGAAACCTGACACCCCAAGAGCAGCTCTTGATTCTTGAACTTCATTCCAAGTGGGGGAACAGGTATGTTTTGTCTTTTCATCTGTTGATTTTAGTACATTTCTGTGTTTATTAATGGTCGGATAATTGTTGCAGGTGGTCGAAAATTGCGCAACATCTGCCGGGAAGAACCGACAACGAGATCAAGAACTACTGGAGAACAAGGGTGCAAAAACAGGCACGACAGCTCAACATCGAGTCCAACAGCAATAGATTCCTCGACGCGGTTCGGTGTTTTTGGATGCCGAGATTGCTTCAAAAGGTCGAGCAGACATCATCATCGTCGACCCAAACCTCGGTTCCCTGTCAATTATCCGATCACATGGTCCCTTCATTGCCGACATTCCCCCCACTTCCAAACCAAACCACAGACAATTCGGTCATCACCACCGAACAAACCATTTATCCGCCGGGTTTCACGTACTTCTCCGACCAAACCGAAATCCCCCAACACCAAACAACTCCAAATGTCTACAACTACAACAACCAGACACTTGAGCAAAGCTATTACAACATCGAAAACAGCAGTGGCCCTGCTGGTTATGACATGGAGGGCTTGAGCTTTGCATCCACGTCAACCATGGACTCCATCGAAGCCAATTGGATGAGCAATGAGATGACAGATAATTTATGGAACTTGGATGACATATGGCAGTTTAGGGAGTTGGGAGAGATGGGAAACTAGTAAGGGCTATATGCCCTATTGGAATGAATACTTTGAATGACAATTAAAGGCATTATAGTTAAATAGTGTGCCATATGACCCCCCCAATGCCATCATTTAAGGCGATTAAAGTGGTCATGTTCAAATGGAGAGTTATCTATGTGGTGTATTATTATAAGCACTGTATATTGATTAAGATTACCATCTTTTCTTATTTGGTTGTTGTCATTAATATATGGTATTTTTCTACTTGGAAATCTAATGGATTCCCCCTTGACTTCAAGGGTAACTGAAAGGTAGGAGGAGAGGATATTTCCATGGTGTCTAATTAATTGAAAGAAATTATGGAGAGAAATGACAAGCTATAAGATCACAAATGGAGTCACATCACATCCATTTTTTGGTGAGAATTGTATGCTGAGTTTGGACTTGGGAAAACTACAATGGGATGGGGTTTTAGACTTTTGAATGTGAACAGGTGCTTGACAATTATAAGGAGGGATTGGCACGAACCCATATGTTTTGATTCGATTGGATTAGATTTTTTTTAAAATTTAGGGTTGGATCGGGTTGTTTTTATCCTAAAAATATGTTTGTGTCAAGTTCGAGTTTAGGATAAAAATACTTGATATAATCTGACTCGAAAATAATATAAATTTACCTTATATATTTAAGGATAATTATAATAATAACCCTTTATATATTATTTTTTTCAATTAGATCCATATTTTATCTCTAAAAATCGGATTGGTTTTGGGTCGAGTGAAGTCACCTCTAAACTCCAGTTGGATCGAATTTTGGGTGAATGATATATATTTTCGGATCAAGTCGGATTAACCGAAAACCCAACCTGACATGACCCATGCCCTTCCTAATAAGAAGGGATAAATTTGGGAACATCGTTTCTTTGAAAAATTTAAATTTTTATATATTTTAAATATTTTTAAATTTTATAAGTTCATATCTTCTAAGATATTATAAGCTTGTCCATACAATAAAATTTTGTGTTTGTCTCCCATTATAAGATTCCAGCTGCAAACTCATTAAGTATCTTCAACGATAAAAGAGAATGTTATTCTCCAAGACTCAAATTCTGTTATTCTCCAAGACTCAAATTCAAATAATTATATCTATAAGGTATATATACATTATAAAAAAATAAAATACGTTTATGTCATTAGAATTTATGAAGGCTTAGAACTAGGGTAGCGGAGTAGTGTAGCCTTAGTTTAGGTTTTAACCTATTTGACTTTATTCCTTCTCGTACCTTGCTATCACTGACTACTGTGTATCATTCTCTTCATATTTCCTCTTTTTAAATTTAGTCGGGACTTTCGTTTCTGTCTATATGCAGAGATTTTTACGCAGAGATTTATTTGAAGTGATTACTTCCCATTACAGACGCGCAGATGAAGACTGTATATGAAGACTGTTCAACTATGTATTTATTTATTTATACATGCATTGTATTTTATCTTTATTTTTAATTTTCTGACTGCCGGAGGTCTTTCACGAAAACTGCTCTCAACCTGGCGTTGGGGGCAACCTACTACCCTACCTCCCCTTATCCTATTGAATATGAGAATAGAGTTTTGTTGTTGTTGTATAAAAAAAATAAAATACAAATACTCTAAACTATTCCAAAAAATAATAATAAAATCCACCAACTCTCGTAGCCTTTTATTTGTGTACCATAGAGGGTAAGTAACACTATTTCCCAATAACCATGGAGGGACTCGGTATATGGAAAATGGAGGACAAACTAGTAACCTACTAAAGTGAAGAGATGATTGGATTCTATTAAAAAAAATAATGGATATTATTAGAAATTTCTTAGAAAAGGAAAATTAAGAGAGAATAAAAAAGGGCAATGAAAAAATTTTCTTACCCATATCTTAAAACAGTAATTTAACTTTTAAGATGCTTATCGTTTGCTCATTCAAAATGAAAACAATAATTTAAAATAATTATTGCATTTAAAATAAGTAAACGATAACAACATATTTTGATTCATAAAATAATAATTTATGATATCGTGTCTAATCGTATCACAATCTAAAAATTTTAATTTTAAAGATAATTTTATATTTCGTGAACTAAATAGATTTTTAAAATCATTGACGGTAATATTTTACTACCAAATATGATGACATGACACATCTTCCACAACGATCAACGTCTCAAAAAGAAAAGAATAAGGAGTGGGAGAGAAAGGTTGAGCCTTGGTTGTAGGCAATAGGCAGAGGATAAAGGATGATAAAAGGAAAAGCAGTAGGGGTATAAAGTAACTTGTCAATATATATATATAGCTTAGCTTTTTCATGTTTCAAAATTACTGAATTGACTCTTAAAATGGGTGGAAGAAAATAATGGATATTTTAAGATTTTTATGTATATTATTCATAAATAAAATTGGAAATTTAAATAATAAAAGCATGATTTTATATTCCATTTTATGAGACTTTTAAAAGAATATATGATATTAGAAATTAATTTCCAAAGTAGGTTCATTTTTTGAGAAAATTTTGGTGCTTAAATTGGTGCATGAAATGTGTCTGAATTTGGAAGGTGTTTATATGTTAGAATCAATTTAATGGTTAGTGAATATGCAACCCTTTGATATACGTGTTGGAAAAATGTGATAAATTAGGAATTTTGAGGCATATTTTCGAAGTGTAAAGATGAAGAATTGAATAATGAATTTACTGATTCATATTTTACTCTGTGAGATCTTTACAACGGTATCTCATATGCTCAAAACGATTTAGTGATGAATGAGAAATTGATGCTCAAGGCAAGTACTTGTGAATTGTGAAAGGAAATATTTATATATAAAAATCCACTTGTTAATCATTGAATGACTTGGGTTGAAATTGTGCATTGTGGGCAAACTCAAGGGTGCAATTCTAAGCTTGTCAAACTCATTAGGATTGGAGGTGCATCCGCACGACGTGGGTGATGCAAATGTTGGGGCCCTTCAGGGGTCATTTTCCTTTAATCAAAATATTAATATGGTATGACTTTCGGTTAATGAATATATTATAATTAAAGCGGTATTAATTGATTCCTTCTGAATCTTTTCTTTTTATCTATATAAAGTTCGTGATCTCGCAAATTGTGCTACTGTTCGTTGATCATATGGTTGTTGTATCATGGGAGACAAACGCTGAAGACATCTCAAGCACCAAGGAGTGGCCGAAAATCTATCTTAAGGAAACTGAGTAATTGCAAACCTAAACTCGTACCAGTTTATTATCCGGGTTATGAATTTTAAATTGTATCTCTTCTCCTTTTCTAATAAAATTATATTTAAAAGTGATTTTTCACAGGAAAAGAATTGGAAACAATAAAGTTCCAAAAATAAACCCATTAATTAGTTTCTTAACACAGATTACATCTTACATCGTACATCATCTACTGAATTACATAGACGCATTTCGGATCCTTTGTTGGTAACCTATTAACAACACTTAGCCAAGTAATGATGCCATGTGGTCGAACCGAGCCAACTAGCTGAGCTCAAGATGGATCTGAAACTCACATTTAAGTCCAGCAAAATTAAACTATTCGAATTCAGTCCCATTAACTTATTTCATAAACTTAAGATAGAGCTTGTTTCATACACAACTCTCAATCAAATAAAACAGGATGGGTCATTTAGGCCTCCTTTTTCATCCAAAGATACGGTTCAGAGTTGCAGCCAATCGAACTCCTCCCTGTGCTAACCTCCGATTAACGACCGGTAACCGTGATAAAAAATAATCATCTACATTACCAAAAACTATATTTTAGTTTTGTCTCAACATAACGGACAAATGGTAAAAATTTTCGACGAAATTTTTCTAGATTCGTCACTGTAAAATCAACTTCAAGTTCTACCTTCAAGTACAGATTCTTGATGGACACCTTTATATGCCCAATCACATGCTGCTTTGATACCTTCAGATGCATATCTACCAACATATATATATATATATATATATATATATATATTAGTACATATTTCATATATGATACCAAAGTGCCAAACCATTGCTAATAAGGCTCAAGAAACATACATGTCAGGGCATGCTGTCTTGTTAAAATTACAGGTCTCCCATCTTTTGACTTGATCTGCCCATTCACTCTGTTTCACAGTCATCAAATAAATAAAAATAATATACACGGGTTATATTTTTTTTTAGTTTTACATCTTTTTAAGATCGATTTACGTATAAAAACAGACAACTGAGATTATCTGCTCGTTACCGTAATGTTTTGTTGGATTGCATCAACCATGGAATCTAGGCTTGTATTGAAAAACCTCTCTTCGGCTGTCTCAATTATATTGGTATCCCAGACCTGTATTGTTGATCTTTGGCGTTAATGTACATATTAAAAACCCTATGAACAAGTTAAAGTTTAGGGTTTACATGGTGAAGAACTGCCTTTCTTGTATACCAGTGGACATAAATGGTGTTGCCTCCCTTGTCTGATGCAAACCCCACGTGCAAAGGCTGCGATAACGGAACGTCGATGTTATTTATTACGGCGAAACTCGAAATTTTCGATGGATTTGAGATTCGGGGACGTTATTACCTGATGGATGTCTCCCATGAAATGAGAGAGGAAAAGAAGCGATTCCGTGAGGTTATCTGATAATAACGTTATCGATTTATCACAAAAAAAACGTAGAATTTAGTCTATAAGAAGAAAATAAGGAACTTTTTATTTGTAGGTATTGTGAAGAGTATACATTGAGATTCGTTTGAGGCAGAGTTGTAGGTAAGAAGCTGAGAAGTGTAGTTGTTAATTGCACCAGCAACACACCTCCCGGCTGCTCCATCTTCATCTTTGCAGTCCCCTGGAGATCGAAATTAATACGTTTATGGGGACGGAGTCGGGATTAAACTTCTCGATCAAGTAACAAGGAGTACTAAACTTACTTGTATACTGGTAACTGCAGCTCTCAGGTGTATCAATGAAATGAAGAGGTGACGACCACGGGTAACGGAACTTGACTTGATCCGCCCACGAACACGAGTTCCCGAGATCGTCTTCCGCCCATTTCGGCAGCAATTCCTTCACGGCATCCACTGCTGCGCCGCTCAGCCGGGACTACCGGAGAAACAAACAACTTCCAGTCATCAACAGCAAACAAAATAATTAAAAAGAGCATTCATAAATGGCGTCGAAATCGAAACCTGAGCAATTTTACAAATTATGGAATGGCCATCGGTTCCCCAGCCGTGGATCGGAGGAAGATTAACAAGCATAATAAACAAGAACAAAGCTAACACCATCTGCATTTTACCGCCCGCCATTCCCAGTCACTCACTCCAGTCTGTGGATGGTTTGCTGCGTTTATAACTAGCTACAGGTGGCCCTGTATACGGTAGTGGTGGATCCTGAAACCCGAATTTTTCTCGGATAATTATTTATTTGTGTTCACCCTGAAATTTTATCGACTTAAAAATTATATATAAAAGGAAGGAATTGGGTTAGTGTGAAACGTATGAAAATATGATCCAACTTTTACATATCCAACTGTTTTTTATGCTTTGCATTCATTTGTGACACTGACAAATTAGTTGTCAAATTTGGAATTATACCAAAAATATGTTCACACATGTTCATATTGATACCCTTGTTCCCCCCAAATAGGTTTAAATACGTTAGACGTTCTAATACAATTTCACAATTTAAAATTCAGTCTCTATACTTTAACTTTATGATATTAAGCCCTTATACTATTTTTGATTTGAAAATATTGCCATATTGGTGTCTTCCCTTATATCTGTTGAATTTTATTTGGAAAATATTTGATCAATTTAATTCTTAATATTTAAAACAAACTAAATCCTTGAGAACGATATAACTTTCTATTCACTTATGTTTATAGTTTTTCATGGGTCAAATTAATAAAAACAATAACATAGAGGATTAAAAAAATATTTTATCTTTTTTTTATAGTTATTAAATCAATATTTAATAGTAAAATTGAACATAAATTAGTTCAATAATTTCTTATTAAATAGTATGAAGTGATTATTAGAAGGGATAGAGCTACAATTAAATATTGACAGATGCCGAAATATTAGAATATTTAAAAAAAATATAAAAAGACTTATTAGGTATTTAAATTTGAAATTTAGCATGAACCAAGCGACCTTAGTGATTAAGGGATTGTTATAATCCTTGAGGTCTTAAATTCAAGCACATATGTAGGGGTATGAGCGTTTATTGTCAGATAATTAAAAGTCTTTGTACATATATTACCTTATATTCACCTTAAATTAAAAAAAAAAAAAACTCAAAACTCAAAATTCAAAAGACAAATTTAATTTGTCTAATATTTAAACTTACAATGACTTAAATAGTAATTAGACCAAAAAATTGAGAACACAAACTTATCATTCTTTAGTCCGACACCTATACGATTAAATATTTAATAAATTTTTAAATTTTTAAATTTAAATATTTATTTTTTAAAATTTAAATATTTATTTTTACATGAACCAAAATACTATTAAATCAAAATTATATCGAATATATAAATTTTAACAGGGTCGGGCCCCTTGACCCCTAAGAGAGCTTCGTCCATGATTATTAGGTAGTATGTACTCAGAATCTTTTTTAGTTATCGATAACATAAATACCTTACAGACGTAACTGCTCAAACTCGAGACGTCTATAGAGTACAACATTCACTTCTATTTCTAAAACTATTTGACGAGTTTAGATCAATCTTTTAAATTTTAAAATAATACAACGACTTTGACACGTGTTTAAATAGTTTTAAATTTGATATTAAAAATTAATTAAATTAATAATATGATTATTTTTGTCGTTGGTGCATGAATTTGACCGCCCAAGGAACGTGGTTGGGAGGCAAAGGAACATGAAAAGGAAGGGGAAAATAATTTAATATATTTAATTACAGTTTAAACAAAGGATAATATAATTTATGATCTTTTTCATAATTGGCTTTTGAGAGGAAGTATCAGGTGCGACAGTTTAATATACAGTTAAAGAAAAAAATTACTGTAAATATTATTATTTTCTTAATATTTTCGATAAAGTTTTATTTAAAACATTATTTGTTCTATCGGAATATTAATATTGGACGCTATCTAAACATTATTTTTTTCTACCGAAAATGTTAATATTGGATGCTACCTAAAACATTATTTTTTTATTGGATATTAGCTAGCGAAATTAACATTTATGGTAAAAATAATATTTTAGGAAGCGCATTACCGAAAATATTAAAAAACTAATAACATTTCTAGTAGTGTATTTCTTTAGCCGTATATTAGACTGCCGCACAACAGAACTATCGGGATTTTGCAGGACAATGGAGAACGTAAATTTGGATTTTATGGAACGAAAAGATTCGATGATTAAAGCACCTCAAGGGGCACATGCTTGTAAATATTATAAATGATATTGGTATACTCTAATTTATTCACTCTGAAATTAGGTTATTATAAATTAATTATTATTAAGATTTCATGTTTTAATATCTTTGTATTTTAAAAGAGGAAATATTAAAATTTATTGAGCGATTTTAATGATTAAGGGCAGTGTTGATTTCCATAGAGATTTTATATTTAAACATTTATGTTTGAAAGGTGTATATGCATTGTTTTTTTAATAGAAACAACTAATTTTATTCAAAATATGAAATATCTTAAGTTACAAAGAAGATTTACAATCATAATCGTAAATTAAGCATATAATTAGCAAAAGTTTCGATAATTATTGAAACAAAACTAGTAACTTAAGATCACATAAGGATCATACAAGGAAATATTAAAAATCTAATTAATAAACACGAACAAAGATAGATACAAACAAAATTAATAGCATTGGCAAACGAACAACAAAAGGAAATTAAACTATTGGAGGACCACCGACAAACCGTAAATCAGCCTCGAGCGACGTGAAAAGCTATCTACGAATGCAAATCGAGTATCCAAATCTAATCCAATGGTCCAAAGCAGGAAAGACCAACAAGATATCAGATAAACATCATCTAGATCACTCGTGACGAAATCAACCCTTAGAAACAGATAAATGAAAAAACAGTCAAACAACCGGAAAACATGTCAAAAGACACAAGAAAACATGTCATAAAGACAAATAAAAACGTGTTATACATAAGAAAAAGAGACGAGCGTCACACCAATGAGAAAAAAAAAACTATTTTTTTTTGTATATGCTTTGTTAATAATAAAGAAATATTGTAAATATATTTTATCTTGTAAGATAAAATAATGATTATTTTACATTTATAAAACGTATAAATGTGATGAATTATTATTAACATCATGATTATTTTACATTTATTTGAAATGAGATAAATTCAAGTTATTAGGTGACGAGTCCTTTTAAAGAATTTTTTTAAAAAAATAATAAAAGTAATTTAAATTTTAAATCTTAAAAAAAATATTAAATGAACTCGTCGCCTTCAAATTAAAAAAAAGTAGCTGTTTTGTAGCTATTGGTAAAAAAAAAATAACCGTTTTGTAGTCGTTGGTCAACGACAAAAATAACAGTTGGACAACGATCATCATGAAACTCGTTACTTTGAAAAAATAAATACAAAGTAAATTAATAGTTGTATTAAAAAAATTACAAAGAAAATTTATTTATATTTTCTAAGTTTTCGACTATGCCGAAGAGCGGTCGAATGATAAGATCACAAATATATTCATTTAATATTTACAAATATATTCTTTTTATACGTTGATTAACATATTTGTTTGTTTATTTTGCCACTTGTATTTGTAAGCCAAAAAATAATAAAGTTATGTCATTAATCCTTAAGTTTTTAGGCTTCACAATTTGATGTTGAATTTAATCTATTTTTTTCCAATATTCAAAATATAAGAAAATAAAAAAAGGAACGAGTATATAAATAAACCAATAAATAAATTTTAAATAAATGAATTTATAAATATAAATGAAATGAACGTTCAGTATCTTTATTTATATTCATTAATTTATTAAAAAAATAAAAAATTATTCAAATTTATTTATTTAATCTAATAAATATAAACAATTCACATATAATTAATTGTTTTGTTCATTATGTATACAGTCCGTAGCATGTCGGTTTGGTATTTGGTTAGTAGAAAATTGTTGGCTCTTCTGATATTTCTTTAAAGAATCTGTAACCCTTTGATATTTGTCGGCGGCAGCCAGACACCGCCTTCGTTATATTAAAAAACTAAATATTTAATTAAAAAAATACACTATTCTTTTTTTTTATTTTATTTATTATTGTAGACACTTATTTTCGTCTATTTATTTATTTATCTTCATATATATCTATATTATATAATTTGTAAATGGTTTTTATAAAATATATTTGAAAACATTTATATATTATATAGTTTTTTAAAACGTTTGTGAAAATAAATATAATATATAGCTTTTAAAACATTTTTCAAAACATGTATATTATATAGTTTAAAAACATTTTGAAAAATATATAGTTTTTAAAACATTTTGAAAACATTTATATATTATATAATTTTTTAAAACGTTTTTAAAAATAAAATATAATATATAGTTTTTAAAATATTTTTGAAAATACATATATTATATAGTTTTTAAAACATTTTAGAAAACTATATAATTTTGAAAATATTTTTTTAAAAATATATAATATATAATTTTAAAATGGTTTTAAAAATATATATTATATAGATTTTTAGAAAATGTTCTTCTTTTGTTTTAATTTATTTACCTTTTTCTTTTTATTTATTATTATTACTTATTTTTATTTTACTTCTTTTGTTTCAGATTCGTTTGGGGTCCAATCTGTCCAAGATCAAGGTTCAATATTGGTTAAGCGAGCCTGAACCAGCCTAACAGTAGATTAGGGTTATCACGTATGTCCAGCGCCGTATATGATCTTGGACCGTTGGATCTGACCCAATCCAACGGTCGAGATCAAGGGTTCCAGAAGATCTAAAGTCACCGGTCAGCCGAGAATTCCGGCCACGTGCATCACCAAAATCGGAGCTACTCGGACTGAACCATCCGAGATCACCGAAAACCACCCCGAAATATCCGGGATCAACTCCAACCACGACCGGAAATGGCCCCAACGGGAGCCTATAAAATCAAGGCATCAACACTGCCACAATGGATCAACGGGAAAAAACCATCAACAGTACACAACAGGATCCACAAAACCCACGAGAACATCACCGAACAAAATCGTCGAGACCCACGTTGAACATCAAACACAACCAGACCAACAGACAACACAGTAAACCAAAACCATCATCGGTACAACACATCCAAATATCACAACACCAAAAACCACGAACCACA